TTGAAACAGATTTACAGGAAAAAAACAAGCCCATCCAAAAATGGGCAAAGGATATGAACAGACACTTTACAAAAGAAGACATATATGAGGCCAACAAACATATGAGAAAACGCTCATCATCACTGGTCATTAGAGAGATGCAAATCAAAACCACACTGAGATACCAACTCACGCCAGTTAGAATGGCGATCATTAAGAAATCTGGAGACAACAGATGCTAGAGAGGATGCGGAGAAAAAGGAACACTTTTACACTATTGGTGGGAGTGTAAATTAGTTCAACCATTGTGGAAGACAGTGTGGTGATTCCTCAAGGCCTTAGAAATAGAAATTCCATTTGACCCAGCAATCCCATTACTGGGTATATATACAAAGGACTATAAATCATTCTACTATAAGGACACATGCACACGAATGTTCATTGCAGCACTGTTTACGATAGCAAAGACCTGGAACCAACCCAAATGCCCATCGATGATAGACTGGATTGGGAAAATGTGGCACATATACACCATGGAATATTATGCAGCAATCAGAAATGATGAGTTTGTGTCGTTTGTAGGGACATAGATGAATCTGGAGAGCATCATTCTCAGCAAACTGACACAAGAACAGAAAATGAAATACCGCATATTCTCACTCATAGGCGGGTGATGAAAAATGAGAACACATGGACACAGGGAGGGGAGTCCTAAACACTGGGGTCTATTGGGGGGAAAGGTGGGGGCCAGTGGGGGGGGGAACTTGGGAGGGATAGCCTGGGGAGAAATGCCAAATATGGGTGAAGGGGAGAAAGGAAGCAAAACACATTGCCATGTGTGTACCTATGTAACTGTCTTGCATGTTCTGCACATGTACCCCAAAACCTAAAATGCAATAAAAAACTAAAAAAAAAAAAAAAAAGAAAAAAAAAGTATGTGGTTTGAATACCTGTCTGGGAAATTGCCACAGCGGCTCTCTCAGCTCAGTGCAGAGCAAGTGGGCAATAAACTCCAGCTCTCAACTTACCTTTCCGTGCAAAAAAGTGGACCACAGATCTAGCTTCCCACCTTTTTTGTCTGCTGCTTGAGGAACTGGCTTCTATTTTGCTTGTCTTGGATGCTGATGGGAAATGGCATTCTCTATTTCTTGGGGCTGCTAAGAACAAAGGACAGAAGTCTGAATCAGCACAAAGGCTTGAGAGGCACCCAGAATCTCTGGCCAAGCTGGTTAGTGAGGGTTTTCTCTACAACATCAGTCTTTGAAGTCTAGGAGAGGTGGTCGTTTTCTCTAATGTGCAGACCAACACAGTCATGGAAAATGAAGAAATAAGAAAATGCATTCCAAATAAAAGTAAAGATAAATCATCAGAAATTGACTCTAATGAAATGGAAGTATATGATTTACTAAACAGAGAATTCAAAATGACATCAAAGCAATACTCATTGACGTCAGGGGGCTGTAGCATGAATAAAGTTATAATTTCAACAAAGAATTATAAAATATTTAAAAAGTATTAAGCAGGAACTATAGAGCTGAAGAATACAATGACTGAACTGAAATACAGAAGGGTCCAACAGAAGGCTAAATCAAGCATAAGAAAGAATCAGGAAACAAAGCCAGGTTGTTGGAAATCATCCAGTTAGAGGAGCAAAAATGAAAAAGAGTGAAGATAACTTAAAGGATGTGTGGGACAACAATATGTGGATTATGGGAGTTACAAAAGGAGAAGAGAAAGAGAAAGGGAGTAAAAGCTTATTCAAAGAAATACAATCACGTGTTCCTTAACTATGAGGATATGTTCTAAGATACGTGTCATCAGGTGATTTTGTCATTGTACAAACACAGAGTGAACTTACACAAACCTAGATGGGACAGCCTACTATGCACCTAGGCTATATGGTATAGCCCATTGCTCCTAGGCTACAAACCCGTACAGCATGTTACTGTACTGAATACTATAGGCAATTGTAACATAATGGTAAGTATTCGTATATCTAAACATGTGTAAACATAGAAAAGATAGAGTATAAATAAAATATAAAAGATAAAAAGTGGTACACCAGTATAGGGCACTTACTGATAATGGAATTTGCAACTGGAAGTTGTTATGGATGAGTCAGTGAGTGAGTAGTGAGTAACTGTGAAGGTATGGGGCATTACTGTATACTACTGTAGACTTTATAAACAGTACATTTAGGCTATGCTAAACTTATAAAAAATAATTTCCTTTCTTTAATAATAAATTAACCTTAGCATAGTATAAATTTTTTACTTTGGAAACTTTAATTTTTAAAACTTTTTCACTCTTCTGTAATACCACTTCAAACACAAACATATTGGACAGCTATACAAAAATATTTTCTTTCTTTATATCATTGTTCTATAAGATTTTTCTCCATTTAAATTTTTTTCCTTTTTGCTTTTTAAACTATTTTGTTAAAAACTAAGATACAAACACACATGTTATCCTAGCCCGACTCAGGGTCAGGACCATCAGGACATCACTAGATGATAGGAATTTTTCAGCTCCATTACACTTTTATGTGACCACCATTGCATATATGGTCTGCTGTTGACTGCACCATTATTCTGTGGCACATGACTATGCGATGTGTGGGACGGATTCAACTTCATACTTTTGCATGTGGATATCCAGTTGTCCAGGCATTCTTTCTTGAAAAGAATATTCACTTTCCATTGCATTTTCCTGGTACTCTGGTAAATCAATTTACCAGAAACTAAGGGTTTATTCTGGACTCTTAATGTTATTCCATTTATTTATATATCTAGTTTTATGCTATTGCCAAATGTTTTGGTATTGTAACTTTGTAGCAGGTTTGAAGTTGAGAAGTGTGTGTTTTCCAACTTTGTCTTTGTTTCTTAAAGATTCTTTGGTTATTCTGGGTTACTTGTATTCGCATATAGATTTTAGAATCAGCTTTTATATTTTTGCAAAAAAAGCCAGCTAGGATTTCAAGAGAGATCACATTCGATTTATAGATCAGTTTGGGCGGTATTGCCAACTTTAATAATATTAGGTCTTCCAATACATGATTATGGGAGCTCTTTCCACTTACTTAGGTCTTTAATTTTTTTCAATAAAGTTTCTTAGTTTTTAGTGTACAAGTTTTGCATTCCTTGTCAAGCTTATTTCTATTTTATTTTTCTTGATGCTGTAAAAGGATGCTTTCCTTAATTTTCAGAGTGTTCATAGGTAGTTTACAGAAATACAATTAATTTTTGTGTATTAATCTGTTATCCTGCAACCTTGGTGATCTTGCAAAATTTTTACTCAATTTTATTAGCCTTTTTCTGGAAACAATTTTTTTGTTTTGTTGATTCATTAGTGTCCCTTCTACAACTATTCCACTAATTTTCTCTGTCTTAATTATTTCCTTCTTTCTGCTTTTTTTGGCTTTATTTTCCTAAAATTTGAAGTAAATGCTTAGATCATTAATTTTTAGCATTTTCCTTTTCTTGTATGCATTTAAAGCTACAAGTATCCCTGAAATTTTTGACTGAATTAAAAATTTTTGAAAGTATAATATTTTCATTACTATTTAGTTCAAATATTTACTATTGTGATTTTTTAACACATAGTGTATTTTTAAATTTCTAAAGATAGTTGACTTTCAGTTATCTTTCTTTTATTGATTTGTAGGTTAATTACATTGTGATCGTGGACACATAATTTTAGTCTTTTGAAATTTGTTGAGGTTTCTTTCATGGCCCAAGTTACCAATTTTTGCAAATACATTATACACAGTTGAAAGGAATGTGTATTCTGTAGAGGTTGAGTACAGTGCTCTATATGTGTTCAGTAAATTCAATGTATTATGTTCAAGTTACATTATTAATAATTTTTTCCCTTAACTTAGACATTAATGAGAAAGTTTATCATAATCTCCCAATGTAATTGTGGATTTGTTTATTTCTATATAGAGTTCTATTACATATATATGTATATATATGTAATAGAACTCTCATTTATATATATAATTTATATCTATAATATATATAATTTTTGTTTGAGGTGCAATCTTGCTCTGTCACCCAGGCTGGAGTGCAGTGGCATGATCTTAGCTCACTGCAATCTTTGCCTCCCAGATTCAAGTGGTTCTCCTGCCTTAGCCTCCTGAGTGGCTGGGATTACAGGTGTGCACCACCATGCCTGGCTAATTTTTGTGTTTTTAGTAGAAATGGGGTTTTGCCATTTGGCCAGGTTGTTCTCAAATTCCTGATCTCAAGATATTTGCCCACCTCGGCCTCCCTAAGTGCTGGAATTACAGGCATGAGCCACCAATCCCAGCTGTAGCTTCATATTTTTGAACTGTTATGGAAAATTGCCACAGTGTTTCTTCCAATATTGCTTTTGCCTCATTTACTATGTCCAAGATGATGTAATTTTCATGAGTAAGTAATATTTCTTGAACATAGTCTTCCTACAGGACTAGAATTATAAAGATCTATTCTACATTGTGGTATATATTTTTCTTTATTAGTATTTAGACAATGTTATTTTTCTTTTTATATATAGTAATATATATATTTATATATATATATATGTTGTATAGTATTCAGTTGCACAAATGTGGCCACAGTTTGTTTAAAAGGCTTTGCTAATGAAATGAAAAAGATTACTTTCTCAAAAAATGTGAAACTCACTTATATATGTTAATGAAAATTGATAAACAATACTACACCTCTATTTGTTGGAATATATTTCTCCCTTGCATTTGCATTTTTTACTTTTCCTTGATAAGCCATGCCCGTCTTTTATGACTAAGCTTAAATACAAAGCCCTAACAAAGTCCCTCAAAAAGATTTACTCTCTTTCTCCTTCCTTTTACACATCACTCTTTCAGAAATTACAACAATTGGTGGTGATCTTTCGTTTGTATGTCTGTATTTTTCTTCACAATGTGAATATCTCATGATCAAGGGTCATGCCTGAGTTATTTTTGTCTGCCAATTGCTAGTGAGGTTTTTGTTTCTCTTCCCTCTTGCAGAATTTTGTTTTCTAGCCTAGTGAGATTTTTGGAGCCAGGCTGAATAAATAAATAAATAAGTTTTCCCTTAGGGATCTTCTTCATGCCTTCCTAACCTCCGTGCTATGTGCATTAATTATATCAATTACTTTAACTGTTCCATTACTGATTGCTGAAACGACTCATAAGACTCAAATCGTTTATATTCTTGGAGCAGTTTTATTACAAGCAAAGGATACAGGACAGCAATATCAGGAAAAGAATATGTATGTAAAGTGTCAGGAGATTTCTTATCTAAGTTTTTTTGTCCTTCTGTTGCTAGGTCGAACAAGACATGCTTTGTCTCCAGGTCTCAAACCACCACCACTGTCTGTGCAAAGCATCTCATTACCAGGAAGCTCAAAGACTGCTCTAGGTCCAGTTCTTTTATGCTGAGATGGTCATAGAGGCACATTACAGTTAAGTGACTAGATTTAACTGTCAAACCTGCCAATTTCCACCAAAGCCAAGTATAAGTCATAGATCTAAGATTATTACTAAAACATGCAGACAGTCTGCTGGATTCTGCCACAAAACAACTCATAGACAAACAGCTACAAAACATCATTTGTCTTTAGCTGATATGACATAGTGTGGAACAAAGGTCACCAGTAGGTGCCAGGAAGACTTGGAATAAGCATTCCAGAACAGCTGAGATTATTTTTAAAAACTGATGAAAAGGATGATGTTAGGACAGTTTTCTTCAGTTCTTAGAGCAGCAGAAATTCTTTAAAACTCAAAACGTGAAATATCAGTCCTTTTTTAAAACAGAAACCCCATATAAATCCCAAATATATTTTTAAAAACCCTGCAAGAATACAGTAGCAGTATGGGCAAAGTATAAGACAAGGCAATTTAAAAAGCAAGAAGGCCAGTGGACAATCACAAATGAAACTTCAACTTCATTACTTCCCCGGGAATTGAAAAGTAAAACAGCAAGGTACCATCTTCAGCTATCATTAATGTGAGACATCAGTCTTCAGACGGGCCGAACATAAACTTCCTTGAAGAGAAATTCAGCCAAATTTGAAATATATTTTCGGGAAATAACTACTTCTTATTGAAATCATAGCCACTGTCCATCTGCAGACGAACTCTTGATTGATGGCTCAGAGGAGAATGCGCCAGAACCAGGAGGAAGTTAAAATTTAGTTTGACCCAATCTCAAATACGATTCAGTTATGACCTCCTTGTAACTATTACCTTTTCTTAGACCTCAGTTACAGAGTCTTAGGAGTGTGAGGGGGCTTCATTTATCTCAGGCCTACTTCCTTTTAATTGTGATATTTATTCTCATTTTATTTTATTTTATTTTATTTTGAGACGGAATTTCGCTCTTGTTACCCAGGCTGGAGTGCAATGGTGCGATCCCGGCTCACCGCAACCTCCGCCTCCTGGGTTCAGGCAATTCTCTTGCCTCAGCCTCCTGAGTAGCTGGGATTACAGGCACGTGCCGTCATGCCCAGCTAATTTTGTGTATTTTTAGTAGAGATGGGGTTTCATCATTTTGACCAGGATGGTCTCGATCTCTTGACCTCGTGATCCACCCGCCTTATTCTCATTTTAATGCTACTACTAGAAAGAAGATCTATCTCATTTCTGTTCAAAAATATTTCTCACAAATTTCTCAAAGTCCTCCTATTTCAGTGTATTTTAATACTCAGCTATATATTCCCCCTTTCATTCTATCATGCATAGTGCTTCACATAGATTTGGTGTTTAACAAATATTTGCTTAATGAATTAAGGAGTGTGCAAGTAATTGTCATGCCAGGTAGAAACTCAGCTCTTTGCCACTCCTGAATTTTCAACTTCTTCCAAACTGGTAAACTTTGCTAGAGGACCTGATCCCACTGAGCTGATGTGGCCCTTTCCAAATTTGTGCTGTTAAATCCAGCTGTGCCTTCATTGATATTGAACAGTCTTTTTAGTCATGTCTCGTTGCCTTTCTAGAACACTCACTGTAATAGTTTATTCCAAGTACTTTAACTCTTCAAAACCCTAGTCCCACCCTGAGCTTTCTTACTCTCAGGGGGAAAGGTTATCAGGGAAAGGAAAGGTCGTTGAAAAAGTTGTCACTAGCAGCACTACCAACTTCCTGCCTTGCTGGGTGGTTATGCGTGGTTATGAGTGATTAGGTGGTTAAGTACATGTCTTGTTTTGTCTTCTGATGACAAAGTTCCCGAGGCCAGGATTCGTCTTTTACTACCTCTCATTCAGCCTGCATCATAACCCATTAAACACGGAACAGTGGTTTTCTAATAAATTGAGGTGATCTGTTCTGATTATTGCTATATAACAAAGTAACCCAAAGTTAGTGGCATAAAACAGCAGCAGCTACTCCATAATCCATATGTCAGGAACTTAGGAAGGGTCCAGTATGATTTACCTCTGTTCCATGGTTTCTGGGGGTCTTAACTGGGGTGACGGGGAAGCTGGAATTATTGAAAGACTCATTTACTCACGTGTCTGGTGGATGGGACAAGAGGAACAAAGACAAATACTGTAGACTAGAGCACCTGTGTATGGCTTCTCCATGTGGGCTGGCTTTCTCATAGGATGGTAGACTCAAAGTCTTTGGACTTACTGAGTAGTGATAGTTCAAGGTTTTGAGCATGAGTGTTCCAGTGAACAAGGTGGAAGCTACAATTTCTTTTATATGCTCAGCTCACCTCTATCCTAGCTTTCACATCTGCTGCATATCTGCTCATATCTGTGACTATTTTATTGGTTGAAATGGTCACAAATCTCACACATATTTAAGAGGGAAAGGTAGTTTCTCTCTTTTAAAGAGAAAATGTCAAAAATAAAATTGCAAGAAGAGCATGTACGGTGGTAGATATGGTTGCAACCACCCGAGAAAAATATAATCAGCCATATTGTTTTCCACATTTTTTCTTTGTCATTTCCAAAAATCCCTTTAGTCCTCTACAAGTCTCAAAGGCAAGGCTAATACCACCGTCTCTACCCTCATCTCTTATTGGCCCATATTTCACCAATGAAACAAGCAATAAAATCAATCAAGAAGCAAGCCTCAGAGGCAAGTTATACCCTTATCTCGGTCTTCACCCTCCTGTTGGCTCTGATTTCATCCATGCTGCCTCTTCAGTGCTTTTCTTTTTTCACTTGCCCATATTTCTTTTTGTCTGAAATACGCTCATTATCAATTATCATAAAGCTTACCCTCCTTTAATTCTTTCACTGACACTATTTTCCCTTTAAATTACTTTCCCGTAATTTCCTTTCTCATCCAAACATATCCCTGTGTCTTACTGACACATCATTTACTTGTTCTTTAACCTCCTGCACTCTGGCTTCTTTCCCTTCCATTTCCCCCCGAAACTCCTCTGAAACCTTTTAATATAATCCTAATTATCATAGAGTGCTTTCAAAGTTCTCATACCCTGCAAAATTTCTGCATCATTTTGTACTAATGCCATATGTATATCTACATAATTGATCTAATTAATCTGAACTATTCTGAACAGGCTTTATTTTTTCCTCACCCTGATCTAGAGCTTAAGATATTCTTTTCACCAAAAATTCCCTCCCATAATCTATATCTTTGAAATTTTTCTAATCCTTTAAGGCATGGCTCAAAAACGCCTTTTCCTCCACAAAGCCTTTCCTAACTGCCCAGTCTCACTTTTCTGACTTTCTTTAGAATCCATTGCCTCTGATTTATTGAAAAGAACATTAGGCATATAACGTTAGAATCCTTTTGATTCCATCATTGTATGACCTTGAACAAGACAGTTTATCCAGGCCCCAATTTCTCTCATTACACAAATCTTAATTTGAATGATTTACAAGTATTATACAAGTTGGTTTTAAAAAATAAGAAAGTTTATTCAAGTAAAATTTTTTACTCCTCCCCAGTTTCACTTCTGTTAAGAATTTGCTTTGGATTCTTAAAGCTATTTCTATACTCACATAATGCATATCTATAAGCACATAGGTATACATGCACATAAACATTCATTCCCAAAAATATTTCACCTATAATAAGGAGAATATGTAATACTATACAATAACTTTTGTGAGTTTTTAATGGAAAACAATATATATTACAGGCTTCCCTCATTTTTATAGTTTTATTGCTTTAAATTTGAAAATTGCACACATTGAATTTTTTTCGACAGTTTAAGCACATATGTGGATTTATGGTATGTGCATATTGTACATGTGAACCAACACATATGCAGAATACAGAACATGTATATGACTTCAAAAATTCCATTGTGTTACCCTTTTGCATTTAGGACCCCTCTCCACCTGTAACTCTGGCCCTCTTCAGTCATATAAATGGAATCATATATTATGTAACATTTGGAAACTGGATTCTTTTAGTCAGTATGATTGTGCCTACATAGGAGATTTCAAGGAGTCTGCTAAAAGGCTGCATACGTGTGAATTTAACACTACAAGATACAAGGTCAACATAAAAATGTCAGTTATGTTTTTATGTACTAGCAATAGGGATTTGGAAAATAAAGTAAAAATATAATTTTTCAATAGATACATTAAAAATGATATACTTAGGGGTAAACCTAGCATCCTTGCCAACTCCTTGAAACTGGGTCGTTTGTTTCTTGTTGATTTTCTTTTTCCTTGCATACTGTTGAGATTTTTCTCAGTTCTTTTGTAATCTGAATTGCATCGTTGACGTTTTGATTGTTGTAAGACTCTGTGTCTTTGAATCCTATGGAGAGTGTTGCTTTCTGCTTGCTTGTTTTGTTAGGCATGTTAGTTATCTGCTGCTGCATAACAAATTATGCCAAACCTGAGTAGCTTAACACAGCGAACATTATCTCACAGCTTCAGAGGGTCGGGAAGCTAAGAGAGACTTAGCTCAGTGCTTCTGGGTTAGGATGTCACATGATGCTGCAATCAAAGCTTGACTGGATTTTGAGGATCCACTTCCAAGCTCACTCATGTGGATGTTGACGGGAGACTTCAGTTCCATACCATGCGGGACTCTCTGTAGGGTTGCTCATGATATAACTTCCCCTAGATAGAGGGATCAAGGGAGAGTTGAAGCCAAGACTGAAGCCACAGTCTTATAACCTTGAAAGAGACAAGCAGTCACTTCTGCCCTACCCTACTGGCCATGCAGACCAACCTTGGGAGAGTATGGAAGGAGAGGGTGTGAATACCAGGATGTAAGGTCATTGGTGGCCATCTTGAAGGCTGGCCACCTCATAAAGCATTTAAACTCATTATGTTTAAGTTGCATATTCCTACCTGCTTTCTGTGGACTGTATTTTCAAAGCTTTTAGAATATTATTTAAATCCATCTTGTGTACGTGCCCCCCAGTACGCAGTCTAGGACCTAAGTGGTGTTCTATCCCATAGCTCAGCTTTCAAGCTTTAGTGTATTGTTTAGGATCATTTCCATGCATGCATATTTCAGAGGTGAGCCCAGAATTTAATCACAGATATATAGGATCATTTTTTTGGGGGGTAGCTTCCTCTATTTAATCTCCAGGAGTGCCTCTTTTTGATCCTTTGGAGGTGTGTATATATATAGAGAGAGAGTCTCATGTGCCTATTGGTCAAAACTGCCATCATCTGGCTGCTTTGCTTTGCATCATTTGATTCCTGCCTGCTTTCTGTGGACTGGCTTGGTTAGAAAAAGAAAGGAGGAAAAAGAGAGAGGGAGAAAAAGAGGAAGGGAACAGGGAAGGAAGAAAGGAATGCAGGGCATTTCTCTCATTTTCTCTGTCCTTTACAGGAACCCACTTCTCACTCCTCAGACCAGAAGGAGAGGACTTCTTTTGGAGCACTTGTTCTGTGGTGAGTCCACAGCTCTGGGGTTTGGTTGCTTTTCAGTCTAGGCTTGGAGATAAGAAAAACAAAACAAAAACTCAGGAAGTTTACCACTACATTGTTCATAATTTGAGTTTTTGTTTCTCAATCTGTTACAAGTGGCGAATCTGACTGGTCTTCAGCAAACTCAATCCTTGCCTCCTTGGAGAAAATAATTCAGCTGAGGAGCATAAAGTAGCGTGAGAGACGGAGGCAAGTTTTTAAAGTTTTATTAAAAAGTTTTAGAGCAGGAATGAAAGGCAGTAAACTACACGTGGAAGAGGGCCAAGCACGCAACTTGAGAAATCTAAGTGCCCTGTTTGGCCCTTGACTTGGGGCCTGGTTCATACATTGGCATGGTTCTGGGTTTTCATTTCTGGGTGGTTCTGGGGTGGGCTGTCCATATGTGCAGTGGCCTGCCGAAACTTGGGAGGGGCTGCTTGCACAGTGTGTTTACTGAAAGCGTGTGCGGGCTCACTTGAGGTGTTTTTCCCTCACCAGTGGAGCGTTCCCAGATGAAGGTTCCCTGCCATTTTGCCTCTCAGTGTCCATGCTTGAGCCCACTTGCTCAGCTCCTCAGATCTTATCAAGAAGCTGCTGATCACCAGCTCTAGGTGTTTTCTCTCTATTGGGAGACTGTCCTTCTCTGGTGCCAGCTATGACCAATTATTATTTTAGGAAGACAGTTTAACAACCACCTGACCATCATCACCTGACATTCCTAGAGGGAAGGGCCCTCTTCTGCCCTGCTCATGTCTGCCTAATTATCCAAGAAATCTGCTGCTACCATTTACTTTTCAGTTTTCAGGTAATTTTCCCATGCGTTTTGTCTAGCATTTTAATGGCATTCAGTTTAGGGTTGCCAGGTAAAATATAAGACATCCCATATAATTTTTAAATATGTTTATTTTATTTATTTATTTTTTGAGACGGAGTTTCGCTCTTGTTGCCCAGGCTGGAGTGCAATGGTGCGATCTTGGCTCACTGCAACCTCCGCCTCCTGGGATCAGGCAATTCTGCTGCCTCAGCCTCCCGAGTAGCTGGGATTACAGGCACGCACCACCATGCCCAGCTAATTTTTTGTATTTTTAGTAGAGATGGGGTTTCACCTTGTTGACCAGGATGGTCTCGATCTCTCAACGTCGTGATCCACCATCTCAGCCTCCCAAAGTGCTGGGATTACAGGCTTGAGCCACCGCGCCCGGCCCAAGTATGTTTATTTTAAATATTGCATGGGAAATACTTCCACGAAAAGTTATTGCTTACCTGAAAATCACATCTAACTAGGCATCCTGTATTTTATTTGATAATCTGGCATCCTAATTCAGTGGAAGATGGGGTAGAGTGTGCTTACTCCATCTTACCTGGAACAAGAACTTTACTTCATTACGTTAACAGCGCCTACCGTTCTGTTTTATGGCAGTTAAAATGGATTTAGCCACGTTGCTATTGATATTTAGGCAGTTTTCTGTTTCCTCCTCTTTTAAATAATGCCACAGTGACATTCATGTATATTTATCTTTGCACACTTTTACTCTCAGTTCTTTTCATCTGTGCCAAATAGAGAAGTGCAATTGCCTATCTCAAAGGGCTGCTGTGAGCATCAGATGATATGATGAGTGTGAATATGCTTGGTAAGCTGTTGGAGACTAGGGAAAGTATTTCACAAGCACTTGTCTTGTGAGTGATGGACTTAGAAGCGCACATGTTTAGTTTCTCTAGTGATTAAAAGAAATCCCGAGAATGGATAGATTTTGTCTTATACAGCTTAGTGATCAGTTCTACTGAGTTCTGTAATAGTACTTTGCTTTTAGATGACTCTAAATAAATAATAGTAAAAAAAAAAAGAATTAAACTTGCCTTCATCTGCCCTCATCTTCTAACATTTCCTTCTCTTAGATTTAGCCCATTAATTATACTTATCTTAGTTCCCTTTCTGAAATCACCTACTTTTTAAAATGATTTGTTTTAAAAATCATTGATCTTTATGTGTACCTTTAACAAGTTTTCAGATGATTCTGCTGACTCAGCCAGGCCCAGGATCCCTGATCTAATACATTGTCCCAGTAATACAGGTATTGACAGTCCCTTCTACTGAATCTCTCACTGGGGGACATCTGACCTTGCCTTAGCACAGCCAGGATTCTCGTGGTTGCAAGTGACAGACGATTCAGCTTAAATTAGCTTAAGCCGTAAAGGTGGGTTTGCATGGCTGAAAAATCCAGAAGTAGCACTAGCTTGATCTAACATCTTCACTGATGTCACTGAGGTGAGGCAGCTACTCTAGATCTCACTCCTGGATTTCAGAATTCTACAGCAGCCCAAAAAATTACATCTTCAAATTACACATCCAGGAAAAGAAAGTCTTTTTAAATGGCTCCTATAGAAGAAAGAAGAATTTTCTCCTTCCCAGAAGTTCTAGCAAATATTTCATTGACTCTGCTTCCTAATCAAATCACTATTGTCAGGGGAATGGATGTGCTGATTGACTTAAGTTTGTGAAGGCCACCCCCTGGCATGAGAGAGAGAAGCAGAAAGAGTTAGGGGAGCCAGACAGTGCCAAAATTGCAGGAGCCTTCCATGTTTAAGTTTATTTCAAACATCCGCTGAAAGCCCCTTATTTTTTTTTTTTTCCTCATCTCCATTACTTTCTCTGTGTCAATACCAAATCCACTCACTAGAAGCCTGCTTAATGGTAGATTCTGTTTAATGAAAATGTTTTTCTAAGGGTCAAGTAATTTCTTTTCAGACACATGTGAATTATAATTAATCATTTTTAAAACGAGGCAAATCTCCTTAACTATCTCCATCGAAAATCTATTATAGTTACACAACTTTTCATTTAATACAAAATGAAAATACCAACTTCCTTATCCAAAGGCTGGTTTAACATATGGTTGCAGGTGGGTTCTCACTTTTAAATTGAATTTAATTATAGTGATTTGTCTGGGTAACAATTATACTAATTAAATGGGGAAGAGGATCACACTTTTTATTAAAATGCAGAATCACTGGGCAACCTTGGATGGGGGCAGACAAAAAAAAGTCAGACTTAAGAAAGTCCATCAGCCAAGAAGATGAAACAAATATGTTTTCTTACTCCTTGGATCTGTTACCACTGTCTTTACAACATAATTAACTGCAAACAAATAAACAAGCAGCAAAGTAGCAGGGATTTGCAGACCAGGGAGGGGAAAACACATTCTACTCTCTAAGCAGTTCCCCTGGCTCAGGCATAGGAAAGTAAGCCCCTGATAGGGAAACTAATGCAGATTAAAAGCAGGGGAGTTTTCAGGCTAACCCATGGCTTTCCCCTTCATCTCATTTTAATTGTTCCTCAGATCCATTAGATCACCTAAGGTGACAGCCGACACCTGTTTTTAAACAGAAAACATCATTGGAACTGACAAAGAGCAGGCAAGTATGGGTAAATCCACCCTTCTTAAGACGCGTTCACAGGACCATACGGAATAGTGGCTTTCGTTTCCAATGGAAGATAGGCTAAATAGCTTCCAGGTTATTGTTCTATGGTTACTGAGCAACCATGAAGTCTTTGCCAGTCCTCTCCCCACAAAATTAATCTCCTTGCAAAATATCCAGTGGTCCATCCGTCTGGTCTCTCTGTTCCTCTCTTGCCAGTTCCATGTTCTGAGGCCCCTCTCCCACCTGCTACCCAGTCTCCTGAGTGCCTGCCTCTCAGGTCTGCTCTCCTCCCCTATCCTTTCATTCTCTCACTTCTGCATCTCATCTCTTCTATCCCTCTGCAACTTTCTCGTTCCCTTCCTGCCCATCTTCTTATGATCACAATTGTGTCTGAACCTTGGCAAAGAGAACACTCTGAAAAACGTGAATGACTCCTATAGAAATTGCTGGTTCCTCTGGGCTGGAAATGAATATGGGGGTTGTGAATAGCACTTGTTGTGAAAGAAGCAAGTAGAAGGAGAGTTCAAATAGAACATCTTCTGTCTTCCCTGGCGTCCTCCTGAATTACTGTCTCATTTCTTTGATCTCTCTTGTTTACCAAAAATGTAGCTAAGAGACTTATGATAGGTGTGTGCTAAAACTCCCTCTGAAGTGGAAAATTTTCAATGAGTGTTGTTATTAGTCTTTTGGTTTCTACCTTTAATGTGAGGGCTCGAAGGGTTTATTGACATGAAAATGGAAATTAATCCAAACATCAAATTGGTTGGACCCACATACAGCATTTTTACTGTTTATCAGATAATTAATTAGGTCTACTTCTTAATCTGAAGTTTCTGTCACCTTTTCGTTTCTTCTGCTCCCCTTCTCTGTCAAAATGTTTACAGATTGTGTTCATCATGATTCCAGTAGGAAATAAATGACGCCCTCAAATTAGAAAAAGGGGAGAAGAGTTTAATGAAGAGACTATTTACAAAGGTGTGGGAAAGGGTTGGGGAACCATGGTGGACGGTGCAGGAGCTAGAGGCCTGCAGGTGCAAGAGGTGGCAACAATTATTAGGACCTTTGGGTAGAGAGTCAGGTGGAAAGGACACCTTTGCAGGCAGTATGATTTTGGTTGAGGCATGCAGCTGGCTTCTTAGTCTTTTTCTCTCCTGATCTTCCACTCTGTCTCCTCGTTATTGCCTGAAACCCAACCAGAAGTTGGAGAATAAGAGAGCCCATTGATGTAGTTCAGACAAGTCAGTCTCTCCAGGGCAGAGGTTGGAAAAGAGGGGAGAGTGGATCTGGAGGAGTCAAAAGATATTAATCATTTTTTAAAAAGAGGCAAATCTCCTTCACTGGCTCCACTGAAAATCTCTTAGAGTTACACACCTTTGCATTTAACACAAAGTAAAAATACCTAAGAGCTGCAGGCACTTTTTTGTGAGAGGAAGGCAAACTGGAAATAAAATAGTATAGAAAGTTTATGTAAATGTATTGGGATAACATTTTATGAGTTAGGAGCCAATCTGAGAGAGAAATACAAGATTCTTTGGTCTTAGTCTTTGGTTTTAATTTTAGGCCTAGTGATTTTTGGAAGCATTTTCATACCAGTGGGTACCCAAAATCTTAAAAATATGTGCCAATATGTTAGGTCCATTTAAAAATACTACATGGCAGGGGGAGCCTAAAGGTACTCATAGTTAAATGTTTTATGTGTCCACACTGAATAATTTTAATAAATGAATACAAGCACTTGTGTTTTATAAGGAGATGCTGTGAAGAGAACCTCTATTGAGTTTAGGCCTTCCCCCCATCTTTTAGGAATAGTTTCTTGAATTTCCACTGGGGACCTTTATGGTTCTGTGGATGGGCATGGGATTCAACTTGGCCTAAAGTACACTTGACATCCTTGGCCACAGGGATACAGATGAGTGCATGAAACAAGCCAGGCAAATCAGAGTGGCACCCAGAACACTTACTCTACAAACTCCCCCTGAACACTAGAGTGTAGGGACAGGAGCTGCTGATGGTCTATCTGCCACCAAGCAGACATTCACAGTGGAAGCAACATGAAGGAGAACAGAACCAAGGCAGGGAAAGAGGACAGACTATGGTGACAGATGTCGTGTCCTTGAATTCCAATGTGCCAGCTGCTAGCTCTAGGCCTGTTGCATTTGCTAACAAGTTCCTTTTTCACTCAAGCTAGTTTGAGTTGGATCTTCTGTCACTTAGAACTGAAATTTTCTTAAAATGATACAAAGTATTCCAGGTAGGTTATCAGGATAAGACTTTTCCTTAAAGGCAAAAACCACTGTCTCATTAACTTCCTTTATGAAGTTATGATTTTTTCTTCTTCTTAAGAAAATGTCTCCACGGGCTGTTAGAAACGAGGTAAGAACCACCACATCACAGCACCCTGTGGTCTGTCAGCAAGCATGCTGTGCTTTGCACAGCTCCTTAGACCTGC